TGTGTGTGTGTGTGTGTGTGGTTACCTCACCTCTTCAGAGACTTATGAGGACCAGTAGACCTCATGGGAACCAAAGCGTGGTCCTAATGAGGCAAACCATCCTTCTGAGGTCCTGGTTAAGATTAAGGGTAAGATGTGACCTGTAGTGAGTGTAGGTTAAGATAAGGGTGAGGGCTAAGCTTTTAGTCAGGCTGTCCACAAATAATGGAAGTCAATGCAAAGTCCTGATAAGAATAGCTGTGCAAACCTGTGTGTGTTTCAGAGGAGAGCACCTCATCTGGCTGTGTGTGTTTGTGTGTGCAGTTGTCCGTTGTTGTTTGTGTGGTAATTATGACTAACATAACAGTGTGGTGTCGCTGTCCTCTCTCCTAGGTGACATCACGCAGAAGGGCTATGAGAAGAAGAGAGCCAAGCTGCTGGCCTCCTGCATCCCCCACTTGTCAAGTAAGACAAACTCCTTGTCGTTGGCCACTCTGAGATGCAGAAACTTTTAAAGTATTTGATATGTAACTACTATTTTACTGAAAAATAGTAGTTACATATCAAATGGTTCTTTATGGTCTGTTTCGAGAAATGCACTGAGAGATATCTTTGTTTTTGTAGTTTTAAGTGTCAAGTGTCTTTCTTTTTAGATTCGTAAAAACAGACTGTCCACACTGTGAGGGTAATTCTCTTTGTCCAAGTTGTCCAAGAGAATTTCTGGCTTTCTGTGGCACTCTAGTGGCCAAAATGGGAACTACAGTAATATATAAGAGCCACTCTCGCCAACAAAACCTCTGTTTGTGTAGTTTAACCTGTCTTTTTTTAGCCTCATAAAAACAGATTGTCCACTCTGTGTGTAATTCTCTTTGTCCAAGTTGTCCATGGGAATTTCTTGCTTTCTGTGGCACTCTAGTGGCCAAAAAGAGAACTGCAGCAACAACATCTACTCTTCCCCTAACAAAACCTCTGTGTGTCAGAGTTTGTGCAGCCGTTGGCAAACCAACGCACACAGTTTCCTTTAACTGGTGTCGGTTTACGCACAGTCACAACAGAAGGGAAGTAGCAAAGCTTCATAGTATTGCTATGAGCCAGTCACCTTTGGCCTCACTGGTTAAATGATCTGTCTGGATTTTCTCAGTCAGCTGCTTGGCATGAGGGTGTGGCACTTCCTCCAGAATAACTGCACCACATTAACATTGACATGAAAAAATCCTTCTTCTGTAAACGGGAACTAATTTTAAAAAGTGGAACACCTTTTTTCCGTCCCTGCTAATTTAACCTTGGTCTGCTTTAGCTTGAGCCACCACATGATGCATGTTTTGTGAAGAGGGACTTGAAAAAGAAGTATATCTCAGATATTTAATCCTTAATGTAAGTGGGCTCTGCCTTTTGTTTTATTATGGACATTTTGCACCAGATGTCACATTAGTTGCTGGGCCCCCTCCTGCTCCTACAGCTGTCCCCTCAGGCCCACTTATCTCCAAACCATCGTCTCTACAGGGACTGTGCTGCTCAGGCCCCCTGGGAAGTGAAGACATTTGACTATAAACATATTTGGTGGAATCTAACCTAGTTTCATGTACTCCATTAACAGTACAAGTTGCATCAGTCATGTACATGTCCTTATTTCACTTAATGTTCAGAGGCACTGTGGTGAGGCTATATTTAGGCAGCTCCTTTGAGTAATATATAATATTCATGCCTACATGTAAATGGCATTACGAGTTGTGTTCTGTCTCATATTGAATGTCTTTTTTTTAATATTGCGCTACATGTGTTTTTATTAATGTTTAATTTACCTTTCTCATTTTTGCAGATGTGGATCTGTCTCTTCCAGATGTCCAGCTTTCCCCAGGCCACAGTGCTGACCCCAGCCCGAGTCCTGAGGCCCCGGGCCCCTCAACCTCTTCAGCTGCCAGACACCACCGTGCACATCGCAGTGGAGGGGCCAGAGATGATCGCTACAGATCAGGTACACAGCATATTAAACACACTCTAAAATGAACCACTCCATAAAAAATATTAAACTCCATCCAGCAGGAGTCAAATCAGCCTGTCAACTTCCTTTTTTTCCTTGTAAGTCTCACTCTTTTTATTCTTACTCTAATTCTTTGTTTCTGTAGACATCCACACAGAGGCTGTGCAAGCAGCACTGGCCAAACACAAAGAAGAGAAGATGGCGCTGCCCATGCCAACCAAGAGACGCTCAGCCTTTGTCCAGTCTCCCATAGATACCTGCACACCTCCAGGTAAACAAGTCTCTCATGCTCAGTGGGGAGCTGGTTGCTGTAATTATTAAACCATGTAGTGTCCACACTACTGAAGTGCTCTCAAGCAAGACTTTGTGTCTCTACCATCTGCAGGGTACATCCACATATATGTCCTCTGGCTAGAATAGTTAAAAAGAATCTAAAGAGACTCAAGCAAATTAAAAATGAATCAGGATAAAACGATTATAATCCATTGATGTGTATTGCTTCCTATGTGTATCAGACACATCTTCTGCATCAGAGGATGAGGGCTCATTGCGCAGGAAGGCAGCTCTCAGTGCAGTGCTGGCCCAGAGCCTGCAGAGCCCTGACTACTGGATCAACCGTTCCGTCCAAAGCTCCTCCACTTCCTCGTCCGCCTCCTCCACCCTCTCCCATGGAGAGCCCAAGACCCAACCACAGCCCCAGCCTCAACCTGCAGTTTCCTTGTTAGCCGACGTTCTGGCTCACACACGCATAGGTACACTTTACTGATTAATATTTAACAGATATAAAACAGTGCTGGTTGGATGTTGTTCTCCTTTAGATGCTCACTTTCTCGCTTCTCCTCCAGAAAACAGTGTCCCCCCTGATGTGACATCCTCCACTCCCCAGGAGAGAGGGTCTAGGGTTGACCTGCCTCCAGCGGTCAGGGGCATGAGCCGTGGACAGAGCCGCTCCAGCATTCTGGATACTGCTGATGGTACACTCACACAAGTCACTGTCATATATTTCCTGTTTCAGATCAGGAGGTTAAACTGTTTGCGTGTTCTAATCATGGCAGTTGCTGAATGACATTTCCTTTTTTGCATTGACTGTGTGATTCACAGAATTGTGGGGATCAAATCAGTGAATGATCTATCCATGTTCATCCAGAATCAACTTGAACATCATCCTCATGTCACTGTGTGGTGAATGCTGCTAATGACAGATATTTTGTGTTCTTTCTTTTGGGTCCATTAATCCTGTCCCTGTCTTGCCTTTCATTTAAAAAAGGAAAAAGAAAAGGTAATAAAAATCGAAATCGGGGAAGGGGAGGGATGCTGACGGAAGTCCAGCTCAGCTTGCTTTCCAACCTGCCCTTTGTCTATCTGTCTCTATGTGTGTCTCGTAATATAGGTCTAGATATAGAGAATCTCCTGTATTTGATTTTCCTCGTGATCATCCAATCTGTGTCTCTTCGAGAACCTATTTCCCTTTCGAATCCTTCCTGCTGCTGATTCTGATCCCGGTGGTGTTCTAATGTGTAGGGGTTCTGCCTGTGTGAGTGTGTGTGATTGAGATCTGTGTGAGATTAGACTTGCATGTGTTGTGCGTCTCTTAACTTGTTTACATATGTTTATGACGGTAGTTGTTCTTGGTGTTTGTCCAGGTGTGCCTGTCAATAGCAGGGTGTCCACTAAGATCCAGCAGCTGTTGAACACACTCAAACGGCCCAAAAGACCACCACTCAGTGAATTCTTCCTCGACGACTCTGAGGAAATTGTAGAAGGTGAGACACATAGTGTGTATATTTAATCAAGTTTCTCTCTTTTTATGGGATGGGGGGGCAGTCAGAAATAGTGTAAAGTGTACATTTTTTAATCATTAATATTAACACATATATCATGACGATAAACTTCAACTTAAATTTCTTGGTGTTATTTTTGTATCTTTGTACCAGATTCTTGTCACATGTCACTTATGTTGCTCACAGTGTTATTGCAGGTTTACACCCTTAATAATTATCTATCCGTGTCTCTTTTGATGACCAGTTCCTCAGCCGGATCCCAACACCCCGAAGCCAGAGGGACGTCAAATCATCCCGGTAAAGGGGGAGCCCCTTGGAGTGGTCAGTAACTGGCCTCCTGCCCTGCAGGCTGCTCTGGCCCGCTGGGGGGCCACCCAGGCCAAGAGTCCTGCCCTCACTGCTCTAGATATCACTGGCAAACCCCTCTACACACTCACATATGGTGAGTTCAATAACTTGCTCTGTGCAGTGTCCCCTCTATTCAGATTTGTCACTTTATTTGAGCACTATCTATACTTGGATCCCCTGTATGTACATATTTTTGTACAAATATTTCCTTTTCAATCATATTTTAACATTTTTATAGCTTCCATTTTATGATTTATCAAACACTTAACAAACTCAATTTGTGTGTTAGCTAATCAGGCATTTACAGGCTTGCTCAATAAAGATCTCTGAATAACTTGAAGGATCACCTCAACTAATACTGATATTAAGGCAGACAGTAAACCGCAAAGGGTTTTTCAGATAGATGTTAACATGTACATATAAACATATCCACCAAATGTAAATGTGAGCGAGTTCAGCTGAATGAATATTATCGGCCTGAAAAGAACTACACCTACTGAACATTCCCTCCCTGTGTGGAGGTGGTTTGTTGAGTTCAACTCTCTTTGATCAGTTATGCAACACTTTATACGTGATAAACTACAAACAGGACTTTTAAAAACTCACTTTTCTCCTCTACAGGCAAACTATGGAGTCGCAGTCTGAAGCTGGCCTATACACTGCTGAATAAACTGGGCACCAAGACTGAACCTGTCTTACAACCCGGAGACCGGGTAAGAGTCAGTCAGTCACCACTCAATATGTAAAGTATAGAGGAACATATAGAAAAATAAGTGTTTCTGTCTCTCAGGTGGCGCTGGTGTATCCCAACAGTGACCCTGGCATGTTCTGGGTGGCTTTTTATGGCTGCCTTTTAGCTGAGGTCATTCCTGTGCCTATCGAGGTACCACTGTCACGACAGGTAAAGACATTACGATGAACCAGATGCAAATCAGACCATATATAGATATAGAATGATGCAGGTTAGGTCTAAGATTTATTCCTAGAATATGACAAAAGCCCATAGTGTCGCTGGCTACATCGGCTCTTACATTTTTATGAGAGTGTCAGTCTCTGTTATCGTGGATTGGACACTTAATGAAAGTTAAACCAGGTAAATTGTAACTAAACAACTATTTTTATAAAAGCACTAAGTCTGTTTGTCAGAGCTGTGCTGATTAATTGATTAGCTGATCGTCTAAATAATATTCAGCAACCCTTTTGAAAGATTTTCTGCATTTTGTTATTTTTTATTTTTTTTTATTCAGGGTTTATTTTGTTGGTAGGACAAAACAAGACATTTGAAGTCTGAATCTAAATTTGATAAATATTTTTTTTTATTTCTATATAGGAGATCTGTTAACTATTAATTAGTGGAACTACTAATTTGTGCATGTGACGTATGTATAATACCTCATTACTCACACATCCATATAGACCATTTGGATTCATTATATGACCGACATACTGTCAGTGAGGGAATATGCATGGTTTTTAATTGCCACGGTTTTGTTTACATGCGCCTCCCTGCGTGTCATAAGTCTCCTCACCTTTGTCGCTCCCCTCAGGACGCTGGCAGTCAGCAGATCGGCTTCCTGTTGGGCAGCTGTGGTGTTAGTCTGGCGCTGACCAGTGAGGTGTGTCTCAAAGGGCTGCCCAAGACACCAAACGGAGAGATCATCCAGTTCAAAGGTCAGTCAGCCTAAATGCACCATCGACAATGCCGCTGGCTCAGCAGGAGACATATCTGTCTCAGTCTCTGTGGGAGCCATTAGTTGGACTCATTAAAGGGAAAATACAGTGTGATGTCCCAGGGCAATTTAGAGGCACAGTGTGTGAGCGGGAGGCTTCGTAATCTCACTTGTTAGTTATTGGCTGTTTATCTTTGCCCTTGCAACCAGGAGGTAGCTGGGTGAACATTGTTGATTTAGTGTGGCTCAAATTTAGTCTACCTAAAGACACATTCTGTGTGACAGCTCAAATGATTTTTTTTTAAGTTTCTTTGCGGTTTTGTGATCATGTTCACCAGGATGGCCAAGGATGAAATGGGTTGTGACAGACACCAAGTACCTGACTAAACCATCCAAAGACTGGCAGCCGCACATCCCCACTGCCAACACAGACACCGCCTACATAGAGGTACTCTTTAAAACATTCAATATTTAATTCATTTGATTTTTCGTTTTCAGTTAGGATGAATTTGCTATATTACAGAATGATGTGGTTCCTATTTAAATAGATAATATTTAACAACTCTCATAACTCATTAAAATGTCTAAAAACACTGTTACATATTTTTTGACTCTTTTTGTACTTACATTATTCAAACTCGCTAATTTTATTTAAGGTAATGGGACGATTGAGGGACCCCTAGCAGCCACATATTTCTATGTATTACAGTAAGGTACAGTAATTAGGTTTAACCCCCCTTGTTTTTGTGTCTCCTCCACCAAAGTACAAAGCGAGTAAGGAGGGAACAGTGATGGGAGTCGCCGTATCCAAGATCTCCATGTTGACCCACTGTCAAGCTCTGACCCAGGCCTGTAACTACTGTGAAGGTCAGAGCTCAGCACTTTATCCAACATAATATCTCCTGCTGTATCTCGGTCCTACTCTCTTGTCTTTTCTCCTGCTCAGAGAATCAGTCAGAAACACATGACATGAAAACCTGTAAGAAGACTATGATTAGGATAATTCGGCTCTTGATTGTACATTTCTTTGCTGATGATTCTTTGTGTTTTCTGTCTTAGGGGAGACACTGGTCAACGTGTTGGACTGCAAGAAGGATATGGGCTTATGGCATGGCGTCTTAACGGTGAGACTGAATACAAGAGTTTGTATGGTTGTATTGTAAATCCAGACCAGCTGATCATCTGTTTATTTTTTATTGCAGAGTGTCATGAACAGAATCCACACCATCACAGTGCCATATGCTGTCATGAAAGCCTGTCCTATGTCCTGGGTGCAGAGGGTCCACATTCACAAAGGTTCAACATATATCCACTATTACTTTTATTGTATGCTTTGAATAATAGTTCACTCCATTAACATCAAACAAAATGCAGTAAATAGAAAAAGTTAAATGAAGTCAATATTTGGTGTGAAGATTTTTCCTTTTAAGTCTTTCTCTTACTCAGGAGGTTGCTTTTGCATCTTGGAGAACTTGGGTCTTCTTTACTAGACAATGCAGATGTATGAATTAGTTGGAGTAGACGATTAGATTTTACTCTGCCAGCTTTGTAGCACAAAGTCTGTGTAATGTCTGATTGAGCACATGTGGCAATAAAGGCAGGCAATTGTCTGGAGAATTCACAGTAACGTGGCATGTTGATGATATTACTGTCATGTGACTGTCTATGATCTCTCCGACTCATCAGTAAAAGCAAACGTTTGGAATGTAAAAATCAAATAAAAATTATATTATTGAAATTGAATACTATATAATAGGAGTAGGCACATAAATTGATGGTGAAGGACAATGTAAGGAAATAATTTAAAAGAAAGAAAAGGAGAAACAGTAGAACTCAAAATGTGTAGGAGATGAAACAATCTCTATGTACTGTATGTGTCTGTACCTTATGGAACGTGTCCTCTATACCCTTTCATAGCACGTGTGGCCTTGGTGAAGTGCCGTGACCTCCACTGGGCCATGATGGCCCACAAGGACCAGAGAGACACCAACTTGTCTTCTATACGTATGCTTATTGTGGCTGATGGAGCAAACCCATGTACGTCACTTCTCCTGCTCAAACACCATACCTATTGAATAAAAACACTACTATGGACAGTCATTTTATTTGAATGTAGATTTTGACTGTTTCTTCCCTGTTGTAGTAATGTGTTCATTTACCGTTTGTTACCAGGGTCTGTGTCGTCATGTGATGCCTTCCTGAATGTGTTCCAGTCTCATGGTCTGAAACCTGAGGTTATTTGTCCATGTGCCACTTCTCCTGAGGCCTTAACTGTGGCCATACGCAGGTACGCTACATCTTATTTACAAATGTGCTCCTGGAACAAGCATGCTGATATTCTGGAATCCAAAACTAGTGTAGTTTTACCTGCAAACAACAAGAGTTACTCTGTACATTATATGGAACACAAGTCACTATAGTGTGTTAAAACCAGGTAAAATGGGTAAAATTTGGATAGATCTACACTTTATAAAAATGACATTGCATACACTTTTCTGCCTTCTCTGCAGGCCTGGTGCACGAGGAGCTCCACTGCCAGCCAGAGCCATCCTGTCCATGGGCGGGCTGAGCCACGGCGTGATCAGGGTGAACACAGAGGACAAAAACTCTGCTCTCACTGTTCAGGATGTGGGCCACATTATGCCTGGAGGTAAGCAACTGCATTTGTTTTTATGTTGCACTACCTAAGTGCAGTAGCTGCCACATTTACTGTGCGCTATTACTTTTCATCAGAATGCAGGTTCCTAAGCATATTTTGTGTGTTTCAGCTCTGATGTGCATTGTGAAACCTGACGGACCGCCACAGCTTTGCAAGACAGATGAAATAGGAGAGATTGTGATTAACTCCCGGGCCGGAGGCACCATGTACTATGGCCTGCCTGGTGTCACCAAGAACACGTTTGAGGTCTGTCTAAGTTTCAATTCCATGTATCAGAGCTGTCTGTGTGACTCATTCAACATCTGTTCTTCACACACTGATCACAAGCTGCAATTTGCCTACGCACCCCCTGAGGCGGTTTTTTGGTACAATGGCAGGTTTTTATATGTATGTCTGTGATTTTATCACCGAGGCGTCACAGCTGTGTAAGATACAGTCATGAAATCTCACAGGTGTGTATTTGTGGTTGCTCAAAGCCACATTTCCTGTCTTGGGTGTTGGCCTTCATTTTGAGCTCAAACACATCCCACCTCAAAGTTATTTCACACTTGAGAATAAACTTCCTGCTAATCTGTCCATGTCTATGCTGCCACTTGTCAGATGTGAGTTGGAATCGGCACCACTTCCCTTCATCCATGCACAGAATGCTCTTGTTTAGAAAATGGATGGATGAGAAAGAAGCACTGATTCAAATGATCCACTAGGTGGAGCCAGATGTTGGCCATTGTATTTAGTCTCTCACATGAGCCTGTTCACACATCCTCACAATTATTCGCCCAAACCCATTAGTGTGTTTTCATTCTCTACATTTTTCTATCTTTATTTGGTTGTTACAACAAACATTTACCAGCAGTTATATTATATCACTGTTCTTTCAGTGCTTTTAAAATCTAATATCAGGGTGGATTTGAATATACTCTACACGTTTGAATCCAGTGTTTGATCTCAATGCTAATCTGCAGGTGATCCCTGTCAACCAAGCTGGAGCACCCATAGGAGAAATTCCCTTCAGTCGAACGGGTCTGCTGGGATTTGTAGGACCGGTAAGCATTCACCAAAATAATGAGTCAGAAAGGAGAATAACGTTGAAGAGATTTGTATTTCCTTGCTGACGTAAATCTGTGTGCTCCACAGGGAAGTCTGGTGTTTGTTGTGGGGAAGATTGAGGGGCTGCTGATGGTGAGCGGGCGACGTCACAACGCAGACGACCTGGTGGCCACCGCGCTCGCAGTGGAACCTGTCAAAACAGTTTACAGGGGGAGGTGAGACACTGGCTGCTCCCTGTGAAGTAGTGTGTGTCTGTGTGTGCAATTACACCTCATAAGAGTGTGCACATGGATGCACAGGTCACACTGAACATTCCAGCAATAAATGTAGCCATGATTATCTGTAGTATTTTATTGGTAAAGTAAAAAGAATAGCTCCAGAAAACTGAAAAAAATCCATTGATAGAATATCTGTCTTTGAATTAGTCCCCTCAATAAAAAACCATTGAAGGAATAAAAAAAACTAACTTCCTTATAAATTAACATAAGTAATACAGTTAAGAAGCTAATGAACTCACTTTAAATTACTTTAATTTTACAACCTATTTTTACTTAACAGTCCTTAGAAAATCCCTCTCTCCCTTTGTGCTGGATAAGTATTTGTTGGCCTTATCGTTTTTTATCATTATCATCATTTTACTGGTATGACTGTGAAAACTGTTTTTAATTGCATTCAAAAAAAGTCTAATTTGGTGAATAGTACAGAAATGTTGCTTTAGCACCATGCATCTTCTCTCTGTGTGTAAGTTTATAAAGTTTGTGATCGTGCTCACCCCCTTGCAGGATCGCCGTGTTCTCTGTGACAGTGTTTTACGATGAGAGGATCGTGATTGTGGCAGAGCAGAGGCCTGATGCCAGTGAGGAGGACAGCTTCCAGTGGATGAGTCGAGTACTGCAGGTAAATCACATCTCCCTCAAAGATATCACATCACATGTTTGTATATTCTATGATATTAGGGTATAATCACTGTAATCATGTCATCACTCATACACCAATAAATACCCTTTCTCCTTTTTATGGCCTAAGTTATGTTTGAAAATCCTAATGGATGAAATAAAAGGAGCTTGTTCCTGGTGAAGTTCACAAACACCCAACATAATGTAACATGAGACATGATATGATGCATATTCCCTTCACAGGCTATCGACAGCATTCACCAGGTCGGCCTGTACTGCCTCGCTCTGGTTCCAGCCAACACCCTCCCCAAAACGCCGCTTGGAGGCATCCACATCTGTGAAACCAAGCAAAGCTTTTTGGAGGGAAACCTGCACCCGTGTAACATCCTCATGTGCCCACACACCTGTGTTACAAATCTGCCCAAACCACGGCAGAAACAGCCAGGTAGGCCGCCTCAGACTATATCTACTAGTGCTCACTATAAACACAGCAACTAGGAGATAAGAGATTTTCATGTCGTTTGACTTGTTGTTTAATTACATCCAGTCATCATTTTGACAGTTAATCCATCAAATCCTGGTTGGTTTTGCTTCTATTTAGCTTCTATTATTTCAGAATGTAACCCTGATTGTTTCTGGTTTGTGCAGTGGATGTGGGTCCAGCTTCTATGCTGGTTGGCAACCTGGTGGCAGGGAAACGGATCGCTCAGGCTACAGGCAGAGAGCTGGGTGTGGTGGAGGACCAGGATCTGATCCGAAAGGTACTGAACCCCAACCAGCACACTGACACGAGAACAATGATCAGAGTCTTAGCTCTTAGTAAAGGAAGTAGCATGTTTCAGCATAATGTCAGGAACATGGACCAACAGCTCAAGACTTTAAATTGTTAATATCTAAAATGATGTACGATTATGACTCAACATTAACATGTGGACAGTGAGACAAAATGTATATGAACTTTATAGTGTTTTGCTTTTACACATGTTACACACCACATGAGTGCAAAGATTTGATAACAGAAAATTATTATATGTAACTCTTTTGGCAAATATGTGATGCTCAACTTGTCAGATTTTGTCTTTATTCCAAACACTATATATTTGTTGGTCTGACAAAACAAGACAGTTAATGGCATCACCATTTTAAATCACTGTGATTTAAAAATGTTTTATTGCCCAAAGAATTAATTAGAAAATAAACCAAAATACTCAGAAACCTCATGAATTATGAAAATGATAATTACTTTCAGGTCCTCGCTGACATAAACCTGTTTTGGGCTAATGTTTAGAATGGAAATACTGATCTGTCTTCTCCTAAATCTCTGTTGTTCTGCCTTTACTTCACTTGGGTTGGGCTTTAGCTCAGTATGTGGCCCACCATGATGGTAAGGCTCTAGTCTGCGAACCCCCCCACACCCTTGTCTTTGCTTCCGCTGCTTTTGTCAGTCAGATGTGCTTCTGCAGCTGTGACAGCACTGACGGCCACCAGCTACAGTTTTGATCCCATGCAGAGAGACCACTGTCCAGGCAGACTCCCGGCTTAGCCAGCAGGGGTCCACACACCTAAATAAAAAAAAAATTATGAAAAAAAATAAAGAAAATGACATTCTCCGTTTTTAAATGTGTCACAAAAGGCTCTCTCTCTCTGCCATCACCTTTTAAAGTGGGAGTTGGAGAGTAGACGACCAGCTCTGTCAAACCAAAGGCTCAACAGTAAATTTATTGAAATCTGGAGTTTAGATTTATTTTGCTATAAGGAGTTAATGCAGACTTTTACTAAACAATTATAAAACTCAATGAAAAGCATGTAATTCTATGCTGTATAGTGATTCATTAGGCTAGTATCTTAAGTATTAATTTGGAACATTTTTGTGTGCACCTCTGCTCGCTGTGTTCACTGTGATGTTCCCGCGTGTAGCATGGCTTGTTGAGTGGTCGGGGCAGCCAGTCTGCATGATGTGTCTCCTGATTCGTTGTCGACCAGAGCACGGCCTATCTGACTGAGACCCCCTTCAGACCTGGTATTAGCCTCCGTTGTGTGATCCAATCACAAGTGGTCAGCTCTAAGAACAGATCTGAACGCACCCAAACGGGTCCTAAATGTTTCCTGAGATCGATCATTTCATTCAGAGGTGGTCTGCGATCCCTGTGGCCACATTCTTTTCGCTTTATGAGTATAAATGTGCCCTGGGTCCCATATGAAGCACTGTCTACTCGGCTGGTGTCCTCTGACCCGCTGTAGTTTCACAAGTGACCGTACATTGATTTGTTTGTAGCATCAACACAGTATCAACACTGACTTCCACATAATGGTTGTTTTAAGTTGGTAAAATCTTTCTTCACTGCACAGCTACACAAGATAAATGTACCCCCTCCTTTCTCTCCACTTCTCTTTCACTCGCTCTTACTGACACACACATACAGCAACACGCACAAACACAGTAACATCAGGCACATCTGTAAAAACTGACTGGGTAAAAACAACATAATTCGGTCTTTGCGAACACAAACTATGTATTTGCTTATTCGCATGTAGAGCGGGGTGAAATCCAATCACGGTCACAGGTGACACATTCAGGACTTGTTTTAATTCCAGGTGTGAACAGACAAACTTAGTGCTGACCACTTGTGATCAACTCTCTCTAGACGGATGTTAATATCAGGTCTGAACAGGGCCTGTGAGAGTGGATGGCAGAAAGTATAACTCCAGCCAGTGATTTTGATATGGCCAACATTGTGTCTCTGCTGTAAATGATTTGTTTGTATGAGAAACATGGTGTTGACTGTCTTTTCTTATGTGCTCCCTAATGCCCACATCCCCTCTGACTTTTAAAGGACTTTGCTTTTATTCGTCGTGTCCTGTTCTGTCCTTTGCACTGAATACTTCCTTATTTTATTAACACCCCTAATCGAGATATGTGTTATCGCTACTATGTATTAAATAGTCATAATAGTAAGAGCATTGTTCCATTGAAGCCACTTAAATGAAGGAATAGGAACACTTAGGCGTTAACGTGTTGTGGAAACTGTTTCAAAGCTTTTGATGTGTCATGACCCTTTGGTTTGAAAGGCCCTTAGCTTGTTAGTTTTTGACAGTGGGTCCAATTTGCCTCCTATCGGCTGCAGATGGTCCCAGCATGACCTTACACTTGGCAAAAAATATTCTCTGGATACTCCCATTCTCCTGTTGTGTGCTTGTGTGTCTCTGTGTGAGGTCGAAGGCGTCACAGTTGACTGAATCTTTGGTGCCCTTTAAAATGTTCTTTCCTGTTCTTCACATTGTTTGTTTGAAGGCAATAA